TATCGTATTTGTACTAACAACATTAATCCTCAGATAAATTTCATTTAACTATCCCCATGTTTAATACGAGAAAAAGAAAGAGAAACCGACAGAGAGAGAGAGAGAGAGAGAGAGAGAGAGAGAGAGAGAGAGAGAGAGAATGGAAAAATTTCCCAGTTACGATTACTTATTCCGTTATTTGCAAAGTTCAATAATGACAGAGTGTCGATAATTCGCATTGCACGTCCGTTAGAAGTGCGGACAATTGATTGTCAAATGATTTTAGCAGGATAAACAAATGTTAACAGACAATATAACAAAGGCGACGCGTATTTATATCGGGAAGAAAATGGCCCGAAGATGCACCACGCTTGTAATAAATGTTGGCCAGCGTGTTTACGAGTGGTCGGAAATCCTTTGTTTGAATAAGAGAAAGAGAGAGAGAAGAAAAAGAGCATGTACTATATCGGTATAGAATGACCTATCTGCTATATGTTCGTATACAATAAAGTATCCAACCACACATTAGAATGCTAAATTACCAAAAATACTGCTTCGAATAAGATTATTATTCAGATTAGCGAGGATGAGGTTCGATCATTGATACCAAGAAATGTTGCGAAAATTGCCGTAAGATTGCTGTTTCTCATTCAACGAAGGTTGTGTTTAAGGTTTTCATTTGGTCGCGGAACGATTGACGGAAAGATCGAAAGATCAACTTAATATTTCGGTTAGAATAGCGAATAATTTTTGATATTATTTACCAAATTATAGTATGTCCATATATTGTGCCACATTGTGCCAGAATTGTACAATATGCAGTCTAAGATTTGATATTAAAACTTGCATTTGATATATCGAAAATTTATGTAGCGATTCAAATTCCTGAATTTCAATAAGAGTGTAATCTCTTCGTCACTTATTCACATGACACCAATTCGATGGATGTGATGAGTACTAACGTTAGAAAGTCGTGTTCGGTTATGTTTATATATATACGAACACTCGACAAACTTCGTCCTTTCGGTTCGGTTCGTGAAATTCGTACGAGGGAGCATTTCGCAAATTGCTCTTTGTTCCGAGCGTGTAATGAAGACAACGGATAATTACGCGTGCGACTATTTTAATTCGCGCAGCATGATATTTTCGTTCGCGCTTTTGCTGCATTTGTAATGTGCCGACAGATCTTTACTATGGCTAAATAGTGAGTCAAAGACGATGGAGAAAATTTGTTCTCCGCCTACTCTGTAGACCATAAAGACACACACATATGTATACACAATAAAAGTATGCATACACAAAAAAATGTATATTATAATTGAAAGTGAATGTTACTTATTTCGAATATCTCATAAATTTATGTATTCACAAATCTACCACAAGTTCATCGTAAGAGCATCAAATTTATTCAAAATGCCAATTCTGAATCTTAGTAAGTTTGGCATTTCAATCAAGAATATTGAATTAAAACAAAAGTTTGGTTTCCTCACTACACTGAAAGAAAAAAATACCTAAAAAATAGTAAATACTTCTTTGGTGAGCATTAATAATATATTTATTAAATATATTACTTAAATATAAATTCCTTTGTTTAAATAGAATAAATAACTGCTATGAAAAGCAACGATTTTTAAAAAATGTATATTTGTTCGTCTGAAAAAGATACTTCCTCAATGTAAACATAAGTATCTCATTACAAATTTATGTTATACTAATATATATCCCCTGAATAAATATATTTTATTTTTAAATATTTTTCTCTTTCTCTATCACATATAGTGTACTCTAAAAAGAAGAAATTCTTCTCTTAAGTACACGATAATAAACTTTTCTCAAATTTGTGAGAGCATTTGTAAACTATTATCAGGAAAATATTCTTTGTTCTGAAAATAAGCATTATTTAAAAGAAAGAAAATCAACTGAGTGATAGTTTCTCTTAGCAGCAGAGAGAATTTTTTTTCTGTGCGTACAATATCAACCTGCTGCGCTTGTGCACGTTTCCTACCGTTTAAGTGCCGGATCTTCATCGATTTTCTATCGTTCTGCGTCTTTCCTCGTGCGTGACGTTCGCATAAACGCAGAAATCACGCTTGGATTAATCTGGCCGAGTAAACACTCGTGCGGATATTTATCGATGAACACTTTCGTCCATTCAACGTATCGTTGGGGAGATGCAGAGCGAACACCACGTGTTATGCAATTCTCGGAGCTCGTCTACATCCTATTCGTGCAATCGATACGCCACACGCGGTCGAGCACATTTCCACGTGGACGACGGCACGGGCACAAGCATTAATTAAACTCCGAACACGTTCATCAAGATAACTGAATTTTTCAATTGTCGTGTGTCGCTGCATCGCTCGGCTCATGTAATTGTTATCCGCTGCTGGCGCGTGTCACAAATGCTGAATCAGTTGCGGGACGTAAACGTCGACAAACGAACAATCTATTATTGTAATTAGCTACGTGAGTGCTTCATATTTATTATATGATACAAGCAACTTTCATAATATTTTCTGCATGTCTTTCATATCCGAATAACAAAAAATCGGAATTTAAATTTGGTGATGTTGCTACTTATTATTTATATCACGTTATCAAAGTGACGTGATATAGTTATAAATAATAAGTAGCAACATCTCCAAGTTTAAATCCCGATTTTTTGTTATTCGGATATGAAAGTCGCTATAATTATAGCGACTTGTAACACAGATCGTTTCAATTGAGAAAGAATAGGAGCAAGTTCGTCGGATTTCAAATGCGTTTGGCGCGAAAATACGAAGCAAACATTTCACTAGTCGCGATTAGAATGTCGCGCGACATGGTGAATGACATGATAGGTCGTGATGCAAACGAAACCGATAATCACGTGCCGGCTCTTGTTTTGCACGTTATCGAATGTGCCAAGCGGCCCACTATCAAAAAACGTGATTGATAATAACTTACCGATTAAGAAGACCGTTCCCTCGGGAGGTCCAACCTCGTCATGTATAATAACGTAGTTGCTCTTTCCTGCTATATCTGAAATATTAACAAAGTCACCAGTCAAAATATTTTATATTATTATTCCACTTGAATACAGCGTTTAATCATATGATAATTTGCGCGCAAATTACGACAATTTTAACTAACACTTGAATTAATTCAGACAATTCTTTTCTGCCTCCTCCTTCCCTTTTTCTCTTCTCTACAATATATTCACGTAAATATGTCCTGAAAAATATTTCTTAATAGAAACATTTTGTCGAATCATTGATCATTAATCATTGACAGAATGTTATAATCGAAATATATTGAAAATGTTTAACTAACATTCAAACTATGGTGCACTGATAAAACATCCTCCCTAATCTCTATTCTTAAGGCTCTTTAAGCCTTAATCTACAAATTAATCTAATCTACAATGTGCTTTCTATTTCCTGTTTCTCTTTCTTTTTATTTCTTTTTAATTTAAACTTGACCTATGTGCTCTTTGCTTCTTGTTTTTTTCTCTTTAATGTTTTTCTGTTAACTTTGATTAACTTAACTGGTTATTCCAACAAATAACCTATCGCATTTATCAATTCTAATAAGAAATATGATTGGTCAGTTCTATTGGAATAACACTAGCTGATTAAGTTAACCAGAGTTGGTAGAGACAGGTATAATTTTTTTAAATTTAAATCTTAAGCCTTAAAAGCCCCAAAGAAAGATAGAAAGCAAGAAACAGAAAATGTTAGAATACTATAATTGAAATATTTTTTTGTTAGCATTCAAATTGTGATGACTGACTAAACACTTCCTAGCCTTCTTTAATTCTCAAAACTTGATCTATAATATGCTCTTTACTTCCTGTTTCTTTTTCTTTAACTTTTTTTACTTAAAACTTGAGTTTTAAGCCAGAAAAAGAAAGAGAACAAAAAGCATGAGACATTGCAGGACAGACTTAAACCTTAAACTCTAATCTATAATGTGCTCTTTGCTTCCTGTTTCTTGTTCTCTATCCTTTTTTAGTTTAAAGCTTAAGCTTTATCTACAATATGTTCTTTGCTTCCTGCTTCTTACTCTTTATTTCTTTCTGACCTTAAGCTTTAAGCCAGAAAAAGATAGAAGACAAAAAATAGGATGCAAAGAGCATATTGTAGATCAGGATTTAAGATTTGAGTTAGAGATAAAGTCAGAGATAAAGGAAAAGAAACAGGAAGCATAAAGTACATTGTAGATTATACTTAAATGCCTGGAAAATTTTCGTGATAAAATATATTAAATTTATTTTTGATTTACTTAAACTATTTTATTTTATTTAAATCATAGTAGATACAAATTAGATTTTGTATTTTATTTTTCAAAAATCCTTTATTTTATTTTTCAAAATCTTTAAAAAAATAGCAATAAGGAGAAAAGAAACTTAGATATGTTTATCTAAAAACAAATACCCTGTCCTGGAAGGAATCATGCAGGTGTTTTAAATTACTACTAAAGAAGTTAATTCGTAACATCTTGAGTTGTACTATGTTTATCGCTCGATTAAAATTGACATGTTATGGAAAGGATTTATTTTTTATGTGACATTTCGATTCAACAAAACTCTTATTATTTATCTTCTGAACGAATATTTGTTCGAAGGATGCAAAACAAATGTGAGGTGCGTTTGTACGCCAGAAAACGCACACGTATACACGTACGGCGACACGCATACTCGAATTGACGCGATCCCGCGATCACAAAGGCACTTTCGTGAAATGGTGATTCTAACCTAATCTTACCTGGGAGGATTAATTTGTCCTCGAAATTCTCCGTTCTCCGTGTGTGTGTGTAGCCGGCTGCTTAACGTCACTCACGTGCATTACGTAAATACAATGTATCCGCGATTACATCTTACTGGCGTGGCAAGGTCGCACAAACTGGAAAACAATACGATAAAGATTTCACAGAACGCCAATGATCTCCGCCTTTCGCGTGCGTCCTGTCTATCCCCACCATTTATGTCGCTGTCAGTCGCTTGGCGGCGCGCAGCGCGTTTCGATCAGCTGATCGCGACGCACGTGCGCGTTAAATTCTGTTCTGTACTTTCGTGCTGTACTTTCTACACTTTGCACATGCAGTACTATACTTTCTATACACGATAGTATTTCTTATTGTTTTCTATATTATTTAGCGTATTACGTGTCTATAAAATAAACAGATAAATATGTATCGTGGCTATAAATAATATAAAAATATAAAACGCGGACAAAAAGAACAGATTTATGACCGATAGATTTTAAACAGGTTGCTTTGAATCACTCTCTTATCTACTTTTATCTTTTTTCTTCTAAAACGTGAACGTTCTTTTGTTTTGTTTCTTACATGTGGTGAGATACGTGAGTTTATCTGTGTAACTTCTCGTCTTTTTTTCCAACGCATGATAAAACGCTCTTTATTCATCTTACGTGAGAAAAGTGCAAGAGAATTGCGTAAGAAAGTGCAATAATTGAATACAAGTTATATGTAAGATGTTACACATAACCTCTTAGATGACATTTGTTCTATTGTATTTTAAAGTTAATAAGAAAGCTTTTTATCTAGAGAACAAGTGTAAAATGTCAACGATGCAAACATTACCACAAAAGAAATATTATAGACAACGTGCTCATTCAAATCCGATAGCAGATCATTGCCTAGAGTAGTAAGTAGATAAACAATCTTTATTTTTTCATAAATTTTTAATTAAAGAAAATTAAAGGGTTTTATAAAATAAAATCAAAACTAGAGACAGAAGGACGAATGGACTTTAACTGATCTCTTCCTAGATTGAATCACTATGATTAAAAAAATAAAACTTATTGTTTATAACTTACACATTGTAGTCCCATAAAACCGGATTTGATGAATTGGAGCACTTTATACCCAGGATATTTTCACACTGATAATGAGCAGGAAATACAGAAACATGTGGAGTTTGTAGATATTGGTTGCGGTTATGGAGGACTACTAGGTAACATGTCACTTATTTTCTGATACTTCTGGAGAATAAAAATAAAAGTGGAATAAATCTAAGAATTTTGTTTTAAAATGATGACAAAATAACTAAAAATTGTTTCTTAGTTACCTTATCGCCAATGTTTCCTGATAGTTTGATACTTGGTATGGAAATTCGAATAAAAGTTGCTGACTATGTTAGGGATCGCATTGCTGCGCTACGTTGCCAAAATCCTGATCAATATCAGAATATTGCCTGTCTGAGAACAAACGCAATGAAGTATCTGCCAAATTACTTTCACAAAGGACAGGTGAGGCAAGAGCTCTATGATCAATAGATACCTGACAATGTAGAAAGATTTATATTAATTTCCATTTTTATTTTGTGTAGTTAAAGAAGATGTTTTTCCTGTATCCAGATCCACACTTCAAGAGGTCAAAACATAAATGGAGAATAATAAACAAATCGCTGTTAGCAGAATATGCTTATCTGTTGGCAGAAGGAGTGAGTAATACTTGCCTCATCATATTAGTTTTCTAGATACTAATATCTAATTATTATACAGGCAATTGTGTACACTGTAACAGATGTGAACGATTTGCACAAGTGGATAGTTCAGCACTTTCAAGAACACCCGTTGTTTGAAGAAATGACCAAAGAGGACTTGGTAAATACAACTCCCATTTATTTTTCCAATACTTGCAAGCACTGATAAATTTACTTAACACAGGATGCAGATCCTATAGTGGAGAAATTATACGAAAGCACCGAGGAGGGTCAGAAAGTGACGAGGAACAAAGGGAATAAATTTCTGGCTGTGTTTAGAAGGATCGCGGATCCTTACATCGCGACGAGCAGCTAACAGTTATAACAGCAATTATATATAGCTGTACATACACGTTAATACACAATTGACTTATCATAGAAGGATATTCTCGCTACCGATGATTTCGGTATTGCAACGGAATACTCTCTGTCATGATGCAACAGACGTGTCTCTAAAATGAATTAGAAGCGTTAAGTAAGTTTATCACTTACTATTGACTTTTGAAAATAAAATATCACATTTTCTGATACCTCTGTGTATGGCTTTTTTCCTATTCATGCCGGACACTATGCTCAGATAACTTGTATGTCTGATATCCATATGCTGAATTAAATGAGTGGTCTCCAATGCAAATTCTTCGTGCACTATGACAAACAGCATCTAAAAATAAAAAAACCAATGATATGTAAATGCCTCTTTTTAACAAACATTGGAACATTGAAGACTTTACTTCTTCTAATAAACGGTTGATTAACGCTCGCGGCGGCGATATGTACGATCTCCGTATCAAACTTTTTCTTTCGTGCAAATTCATTGTGAATTGTGAGTAAAATAAATTTGGTTGATTCTGCAGGACGTCTTTTATCAGACTTTTGAATAGTTTGCTATTGACTATTTCCCTACAACATACGTTTGAAAATAAAAAAACATCTTTATTCTGTTACAAATTTGAATATTTCGTTTTATTGTTATAATTATAAAATGCAAGAATTTTACCATAGTAATCCCTCTAAAATAAACGAAGCTCGACTAATATCTCCCTCTCTGAACGTTGTCTCCTGTTTTTGATTTTCCTCGATGTATATTGTATACGGTGGTGCGCTTTTTAACTCTTCTATTAGATCAACTTTCAAAAATTTGTCTTCTAAACTGTGTATAGAACAACGGACCGTCATGGCTTTATAAAACGACTGGGGTTTCTCCAGGATTCCTATAGTTGATTTCTAAAAATAAATAAGACACTATATTGAAACGAAACTCAAGATTTATGTTTCTCATTTTACTTACCGGAACACTGATGCCTTTCTCCGTGAGAGTAAATTGTCCCTCCAATTCCTGAGATAAATCGGCATGCTTGTAGATGCTCCTCTGGTAGTCCCGTCTTTGACTGGTGTTGACAAATTCGCAAAGTACGTTAACATCGATAATGCAAGGATATCCTCCGGTACATATGGTTGCGTAAAAAGTTTGGGTCGCCATCGGTTGTATTAAACCTCTACGTGGACAAACCTCCACGCAAATAATTTCAGGAATCTCATATCTAAAAACAGAGAATATGAATGTTATTTATAGATGATCAATTTAAGTCAACGAATATATAATAATTTGTTGTTCCAGGATATATTCCACATAATATAGTTCGGTGTAAACCTCTTCCATTCGTAAGCGAGTACGTCATGGTCCAAATTACTGTGCAGCATGACCATCTTCACTACGTGACTGTGCGTAGCTATGTACGATATGTCTATGCAGTAAGTACTGAAGTAGATAGGAATATCGGAAATTCCGGAGCTATAATTGGAAGAGCTATACGAAACGTACGGAGGCACGTATTCACCGACCGTCGCCGATTTATGCGGCAAGAAAGATTCGCCTTCTAACGTCAGTTCTTCTTTTTCGTCGCCCAAAATCAAAGACAATTTTCCCTTTATGAATAGATAACATACGATATTCATCAATTCAGAGATAAACTTCGAAAGTGACAAAGTGCCGATTTCTCTTTCATTAAATGTGTTGATTGTGTAAAAACCTCAAAAACGCCGAATCGTCGCGGCTGAAATTTCAGAAGGATCGGGACGGCAGATTGCGGACTCGCAATTCCGTGAGGAGTCGCACAGAAAAAGAGCTCATGACAATATCTTCGATTTATCTCGCGCGTTGTATTACGATCCACAGAGAACGGGACATTGCGGTTCGTGCCGTTGTACAGCCAACACACCTGAAACATTTCCATTAAATCAAATGTAATTGCATGTTATTAATTACATAAGCAATAATTACAAGTTATCATATATCATACATTATGATATATTATAAAACTATATATTATTACATTATATAAGCAATTATATAATTACAAGTTGTTAACTGCATTCAAACGTAAGCGACAACCTGATAAATCGGGTCCTTGTCGCCAAAATAGACGTGTTGGAATTTGAAACGCGTGCCGTTCAGAATATGAAGCGTATTCGCAGTTCCAGATAAACCTTTGATCGCCATGATCAGGAAAATATGACGGTCATTTCCGAGATCCATGTCCCACTTTGCCTCGGTTTTGCCTAGCAGTACGTAACGCAATTCTAGACTTATCCAGGCGTCGTCTCCTGGCTGCGTTTTTCGTGTCGTTCGTGAGTTCTTAAGATATTATTGTCGTCTTTGAAAATCGATTTAATAATGATGTAGAGGATTATACTTGAAAATTTCCCATTTTCGGCTGCATAGAGCACACTTTCCTGTGCCAACAATCGTACTGTGCACGCTGAATCGAGAGTGCTTGGGCTTTCACGACGGGTCGACAAGAGCACAACTGCACTCTTTTGAGACTCCAAGAGGCGGTCACCGCGTTAGCGTTCGTCAGAAGCAATTTTACAGTGACGGGACTCTCCTGAAAAATCATCGCCGGAAAGTTCATGTGCAGCGTCTCCGAAGTTCCAGGTTGTAAGTGTTCGAGTAACTTGTTGAACCTGCTGACACATATTAAAAAGATTAACAAATTTTGCATTTGTGTATAGAAAATCGTTGCGATTAGAAAAATTACAGAAAAATATTTTACGCACAAATTTATCTTCATCAACTTCCAAAGAAAGACTTTGCTCGTAACCGGACACACCCCGTAACACTGTAGATCCTTTACCTGTTCATTACAACAATTACTGTAATATACTATGAATGTACTGTATACCTCAGTTGAAATTTTAATCCTACTTTCGACTAAAATATTCTAATATTTGTATATTCTGAAAGATCAGTGATAATACACATCAAGATTGAAGTCCTACTTAGCACCTCTAAATGGTAGAAAATGGTAGAAAATATACAAAATGTCACTTGCAGTTTCTAAAGAAGACCTCTTGACAAAGTTAGTAAGTTAAAAAAAATCAAAAGAAGTTGATATAGGCTTCAGCGTATTAAAATAGACGTCAAAGAAAATATTAAGTAGAATACTTAACGAAAGTAGGATCAAAATTTTTGATTCGGATAATTGCGGTTATTAATTGTTACACTGTGTACATATTACCACTTTGAATCTCTTCGAAATATGAGAGTAAGAGAAAAATCTAACACAAATAATACGATACAGAAAGTAGTGATAAATAATTATTGCCGCACTGTTGTAAAAATATATCTCTAAAACGAACTGTACATACCTTTAAAGTGGGTAGTACGCACAAACAGCGCAGTTTACAGATATTCCTCGGCGTTTGATTTGGAATTAACGTGTTTGTGCGAAGATTTATCCTCACGAAGTATTGAACGAACAGCTCATAATAGCCAGGAGTAGTGGGTGTGATAGAAGCGGTGATGGTTTCACTTTGTCCAGCGAGAACAGCACCCGCAGATGGATGTATTTTTACATCCTGTTCCACGTTCCCGATCGGCCAGTTGCAATGATTACACGTCATCTTGTAAAAGATTATCACGGGACTCGAGTTAAACACGAGAAAGCTCAGTTTCTTCGTAGCTTTGTACGCCAGAATTCCGAAATTCAATTCTTTAGGCACCGACTACGGATACATAAAAGAATGTGTTATTCAAACGATTATTTCATACCCAGACTGCCACTTCGTGATGTCCCAATAAATACTAACTAGCAGTAACATTGCATCAATGTTGTAATTGTCCACTCAATAATGGAACTGTTACATAACACACGTGTTATACTGCATTTACATTCTTGAAATTATAATATTGATGTTACATCACTAATAGTTGATGTTTACTGTGGTAATTATTAGCCTATAACAAGTTACCTCGAGAAAACCGACTTCGCATCTTCCTATCACACGCAACGCTACGGAAACGCTCGCACCGACAGGAATTTCATCCTTCAGCACAGTTAAAATGCAGTTTACGTCGAAATCGTAGTCCCCGGTTATCGTGGGACAAAATTCCCACTCGTGAGTGAGAGTATCGTTCGAGCGAATCTCCCCACTTGCATTTGGAATTTGGAGCTCCGTTTTCGTATTAACAAATTCATATCTAGAATATTAATATCAATCGCGTAAGGAATATTTACAAACTGACATTCACTCTCTTCTCACAATAGTGAAAAAATTAGATTGAAGATATTTAAAAAAACGATCTTTTTAATAAAATTCAACGTTTTAATAAAATCCAATTTTTATTAAAAGAAAATTTTTGCAATACCGTCTTCCAGATACGGTAACGCTAAAGTACGTTCCGATATTCACTGCCAGTATTACGAATATACAATTTGTGTCACGTTTCCTATATATAGATTTGAAATACTGACACTGAATATCTGAATATACTTTAGTATTATCATATCTGAGACACAATATTACAAAAACTCATTATTATCGGGAAACGTGTGCTAAAAAGTTGCTCTGCCGCTTATTAAAATTGCTACTTTGCATAACGCGTTCTTATTACATATAATCTTACATGCAATCTTCATACACGTGATTCAAGGCCTTCTATGTTAATATTCATATTGCAAGGCAGATTTACTTTATCGTGTGACGAGTGATATTTCGCATGAGGAATTGCTGCGGCAATCGGCAGCCGAGGAAACACGGCGTGAGTCTCAGGACGTTCTGATCGCCGAGAGTGACTTCGGCGTGTTCCGCGAGCCCTCGAAAATCGATGAAGCACTCCGATTTGGCGTTTCCATTGAAACGTATCGCCCAACGCTCGACGTAGACGCGCCTATTATCGCTTTCGGGTAACATCCCGACCACGACGACTTGATAATCTCTGGAGGATATCGTAATCGATTCGACAATTGAAGTAGACTAAATGTAAAGTACATGTTGCCCGTTATACTGATAAATTATCCCCATCATCGGTTTCACGACGAAGCGGCTCGATTCCGGCGGCACAAAGCGATACATCAACGGCAAATGTCCGAATCGTTTGATCGCGAATGTGGTGTAAACCGGAAACGACGGCACACAAGGAGGCATTTTTATTATGTGCGGTATTTCGTACTGAGGTATCCAACCATCGGAGCAAACGGGGAAAGAATGACCTATAAGATATAATTAACTTTGCTGCCAATATAATCGCGAATATAATTGCGACGTTACGCAAAAGTGAGAATAAAAAATGTGCATACCAATTAATCGTATGGACGTCATCGCAGGGAATGTAAGCGTTTCTTTGTGACAATTACCTTCCCGCTGCATCGGCTGAACGTAACCGACGAGCTCTGATGTGAATAAATTACTACTTCTTCCGTTGGGATCGAATACAACTTCGAATAGAACTGTTTGGCTTGCCGGTACTCCCACGGTTTCGGGTGTTATGTGGAAAGTGTTCTCAACGTCTACAACATAATAATAACGATTGTTAACAGGAAGGATGGATATGTATAATTTCGAAAAATCAGAATCCCGAAATTTAAAAAGTAGGACAACGTCTCAAAAAGTCATAATCTTGAAAACTAAATATCTGAACAATGTATCGAGATACAATTTCCTTGAAATATTGAAAGTGCGCCTTATCCTGAAAAGTTACAGTTCGAAGTTGCAGACAAATCAATGAGGAAATATGTCTTCTTACCAATTTCAATAAACCAAATCGAAACCAAATTGTCCATTCGTTGTATGGACAATTTGGTTTCAATTTGATTAATTAATTTCGGTGTTTTTTTCAAAAACACTCGAGTCAAAATTTCAGCCCTATTTTCGATTGAACTTTTTAACATCTGCACATTCTGAAGGATCAATATATATTTAAAATACATGGGAACTGAAGTCTTACTTAGTGATTCTAAATTGCAAAAAAAGCATATAATACTCGCAAATTTTAGTAGACGTTAAGGGGTATGTTGTCGTCGAAGATATATCATGAAAATTTCGATTTGTGTTCATGTTTACTACAAAAAAATCGCGTTCAAAGAGTTAAATACTGATCATTGGTGCGTAACGAACCTCGGTCCCATTTTATTAATACGTCGGATCGACTGTGATTAGTGAGACAAAAGGTTTCTGGAATCCTTAGCGCGTCGTTCTTCACTCTCGTGCCGGCTTGACCGAAATCAATGTAGTTCTTCGACAAAGAAACCGCAGGTTGATCTTGCGCGGCGACGACAATATCGTTCATGTATCCCTCGAAGCCATTCTTTGATCTCGCCGGATAATTAAAGTGTTCTTGGACGTTTGCTTTACGTAATACCGCGCCGCAATAGCCGTACAGCTCCACGATAATCGGTTTCTACACTTCGGAAAAAGATTGTCAGCTTTTGTAACTGTAATCTTCTCTTGCGCATAGCCCATTAATTCCCAGATAGCACACGATATTCTATGGATATCCTATAAACATTCTTAGGACATTAGAACGTCCTCTAAACGTTTTTAAGGTGTCCCTAGAAGATTTGTGCTAATGGAGTTATTCGTATTTGAATTCGGCAATTATTCAATACTCTAAGTAATAGAATCTATAATAAATCTGAAATAAATATATTTCAGTAAACAATTAAAGATTGAAAGTTTTTCATTTACATGATGCAAAATTAAGCACGGCAGGCGGCATGTATAGATTCCGATTTGCCGAGGCGCAAAAGTGATCGTCACATACGTGCGAGAACGCGATCCGACATATCCGTGTGTCATGTCTACCGTGAATGACCTTTGAACTTGATCGATGTCGAACATGAAAGCCGTAATGACTTCGGAATTGTTAACGAGCCTAATGCGCTTCTTCGCCTCAGTGTTCCCGTTCGTGCACATCATGACTAATCTTGTCGTCGAAACTGACATCACTGGACCTGCGTAGATTATTGTGTACACGTCACATACAATGACGATAATGAGTTTGTCGGAAGCGCATCATCACGATCATCTGTATATTCGTTTACGGTTATTTAATTTGATTCACTCAATTAAGCAGAGCGTCGGTAATTGTCAAGGAGACGGGCATTCTCACCGATTTGACTGAAACTTCGGAATATTGTGTATTTTATTGCATAAAACACGAATATAAAAGTTAAAATTGTCGCTTTTAAGTAAAGTAAAAGTTACAAGATGCCAAAAAGTGACAGTTTAGAGGTTAGAAAATGTATCGTGTACACAGCGCATCAGCATATAAGCATGCATAAGTAAAGTGCGCGAAATTTAAAATATGATTTAAGAATATTGAAAAATATGAACTCTAATTATGTAATAAAAAAATGAATAATACATTTTTGGACTAATGGATTTTGGGCGAAGCTTCCACTCCACTAAAATTTTAACTTAATCCTATCCTAAAGCAATGTGACGTTGATATTAGTTATCAAAAGATATATGTTTACTGTATATATGTTTGTTTTATGCACATACATCTTAACAACGAATATTAATGTCACAATGCTTTAGGATAGAATTAAATTAGATTTTTAATCCAAAAATATATTAGTTTTATTATAAAACTGATGAAACTTACACGTTCACATGTCTCTCTACATGTCATTAGTATGATAGATTTTCTATTAACTATCATTTTTTAACACTTATAATTTTATAATTTTTATATTACTTAAGAATGACGATTTTAAATATTCGTGTTTTGCGCAATAAAATACACAATATTCCGAAGTTTCAGGCAAATCAATAAGGAAGCCTGTCTCTTTGACAATTCATCATCTTGTGTTCCTTATGACCGATGATTATTGCTCACAATTTTAGCTATGAAATTCTCTTTTAGAGAACTCATTAAGTGCAAGCAAGAAATTTAACTGCAATACTAATTGTATAAAAAATAAAAATTTTTTTAGAACAACTATGTGGAGTTGTCAATAATTGTCAATAATTAGGTGTTTTACCCTACATAACAGTCGATATAGAAGCTGCATCAAAGTTAATTACTTCTCAAAAGTAATTCTTAGTAAACACTAACAGTAACGTTACACCAAAATTATAAATCCTTACTCAATACAATGTAACAATTACATAATGCTCGCATTATATTGCATTTACATTGTTGAATATATAATTATAATATTAATGTTACTGACACCTAAGAAATACCAAGTAGCAGTTATATAACTGTAGCAGTTATATAACTGCTGGGTAGTTGGTGTTTTACTGAGTTGAGATTTTGGAATTTTATGTCTCCTGATAGTAAATTGTCTTTAAAACATATGTTAATCGAAAATTGTTCATACCAATACATGTGCCACAAACTTTAATTTCCATTTGATTATGACTGGAATCCACGATCATGAAATAATCTGTGTTTACAGAGAATGGCACGAACGGCCGGTAACATATTTTGCATTTGTATACTTTGCCGGGAGACAAGGTCCACGAATAGCTGCTTAATTCGAATACATGATCCAAGGGATTAGTAATAGCGTCCCTTCGGGCCTCGTATATCTGTTCTATCTTTAAAAGGATTTTATCTGTTAGAGGTCAAAAAGTTCTATCGATTAAAGAGGTTAAGAATTAAGTTTACAGCTTCTTATTTCTAATCAACTCAGTCATACGATTGTTCAGCACTATTAATTCTGATGTGCTAACGTCAGAACTGATTTGTGCGTTAGCATAGCGAAATTTGAATCACGCGGGAAAGGAATCTGATATACTAACGCAATTCTCGTTAACTATCTCTATCCATTTTACAGCTACAGCGCCCGTATGCACTTCTCCAAACTCCACGTGAATTTTTTTACTTGGTGCCTCGCAATATGCATACATCTTTTGTAACCGTTTCAGTTATTCTATTACTAATTATTATTTCTCTCTTCGTGCTAAAGTCTCTTATCAAGTCAAAAATATTCCATGGATCACGTCGTTACGAAAAAGCATACGTCGCGCGATGAAATAATTGAGTAAATAGCAACATCTCGATCTCGCGCAATCGATATCTCGAATTCAGACGTCATCGCTCGAGACGTGTAAAAATTAGCCTTTGTCTAATGCCTATTCTTATTGCCTGTTGCCTGGCATTCTGCAAAGGTCTTTACAGTTCTTTCTATCTTTCGGCTGTGTTTCAAAATTGCTGATAGCGCTGAAAATCTATAATATATGTAACATAAACTATAGCTTTTCAGTGATGACAGTGAATTTTGGAACACAGCCTTCATCTACACCTTCTATATTCTTCTCCGATCTTCATCTTTATTCTCTTGCCATTTAATGTCCAATTAAGAAGAATGAAGGAGAATTTCAATGATTGAGCTAATAAGAAAGTATGATCTCTAACAGCATAAATTTCCAGGGGACATACAGAGAAAATCCTAAGGAAGTCCTGAGGACATTTCTTCGTCTTTAGGACGTCCTGAGGAGATCTTGTGCTGTCTGGGATCAGTTTTATTAATTTTTATTAATAAGTAATTAATGAAATTACTAAGAAAAATAATGTTTATAGTAAAACCTTAAATAATAAATATTAAATAAATAATAAATAATAATAATAATAATAAATAAATAATAAATATCAATAAATATCAATAAATATCAATATTATAATTTCGATAAAAGATATTAGATAATACCGATAGTACCAATAATTGTAAAATAAATTTCCTAATTATTGGATAATACAAACTCGATGTTTTGAATAATCATTAAATATCACACATTGGCAAGAAATATATATCTCTCTCTTTTAGCAAAACTTAAAATTTGAAAATATTAAATAGAAATATTTAATATTTTAGAAAATTTTTTGAAAATGTTAAATGGGAATATATTATCAATGTTTCAATAGAAACATTGTTCAATTATCACTTATCTGATACGCTTATCTAGTTTGAACAATGAAGAAAACAGCTAAGGATTGCACTTTCAGTGCAGTTAAGAGAATGTTCGACAGACGTCGAGTGACGTCGTGTGGTCGTGACTGGTCGTGACTTGTTCGTCGCTCCCATCGCTTCTTCGTGGGGTGATGCACCTTCGCGGTAACGACGACGCAAAATCGGCTTCGGCCGATCAATTCCACGAAGAGAATCTTGCAGAATCGAGACGGAGTAAACGACATTTCGTCACCTCTGCATTTCGTCTGACTGTGCAGTTGTTCATGTGCGCATTCTATATGGCTTTGTGACACGACTTTGTGCCGCTGCGAAAATGGTTCATCAGCTAAACGTTTATTTGCTAATCCTGCTGCCGAGCATGGTTGCGCACTTGTGCTGGTGCGTGCGTTACAACAATTACGAAGAGTGTAAGTACCTGCCGAAACGAGTATTGTGCAGAAAATTATACGCGTGACTGTTTGCATGTCGCGTTCATAACCTCACTTAAGGGAGAACGAGGCACAGAGGACCACTTAACATTCTAAGGTTAATAAAAAATTTATCAGTTATAGAAAATGGCCCAAAGTTGCTCAGCATATACCTACAAGGGTTATGCATACGCAGACAAAGCGTTAATTTAATAACTGTAAGAGATTTTACTTTAGACATTAAAACTGTTGGAAAGAAAAATAGTCCTCTGTGCCCCAAGCACAGTATGATTTTTATATATGTATGATAATATTTCGCATATCATACATATAAATAAAAACAGAGTAATAAAAATAAGTTTATCGTTTCCAAATAACATATATGTATATATGTGTGGTATGTGAGAGCAACATATGAAGTGAAAAAAAACAATGTTTTATTGGCACTTCTTCCTTCATTTTTAATTAATAGGTACATAATAAGAACAATATATTTATTATATAATAACAAGAAAGTATTTATTATAATTAATATATATATATATATATATATATATAATCATTAAATAATTAAATATATATATATATATATATATATATATATATATATATATATATATATATATA